CAATACAATACAATACAATACAATACAATACAATACAATACAATACAATACAATACAATACAATACAATACAATGTAATATATGACTTGAACTCTACATGTCACTTACTTTTGATATTCCTTAGTCATAGATGATGTGAACATAGATTTACCAAGGAAGCAACCTAATACTAAAGAGAAATTTCCTGACAACAATTACAACAAATAACCAGTGGGACAGAAGTTACCTCCAAAAGTTGTGGGTGCTCCAACACTTGAGTTTTTAAAGAAAAGACTGGAGAGTCACTTGTCTGAAATGGTGTAAGGTTTCCTGCTTGAGCAGGGGCTGGACTAGAAGGCCTCCAAGGGTCTTCTTTTATCCTATACTTCTCAAATCACCTAAATGACAGGACACCAAAATTAAATCTTGTGGACTCCAGCTCCCAGAATTCCCCAGACCTGCCTAGCTATCTGGAGAGGTTTGGAGACCCCTGACCTAAATGGTTGGGAGTTGGAGCAGTTCTACCTAAGTGGGTGGTCCAGTCAGGGGTGGCAACCCCTTCAAGATAGACCACTTCCAGGCTGGGTCCTTTCTCCCTCCTGTTTAATAAAGCTATATGAAGCTGGTGAAAGAGATCAATCATCAGCCTATGACAAGGTGGCATGCAAACCACAGAGTGAGCTTTGTTCCAACTTGGCTTGAACCACACAACCCACGGAATGAGGAAACTCAAACATTTACCAGGCCAGATCCCTCAAGATGGGCTGCAAAACCCAGCTTACTCAACCTCTGGGCAAACATTTCATCTCCTGTTTATGGCCTCTTCTTGCACAGAACATGTGAGTAAACTGCCATGGAGATGTTGCACCACCTGACTCATCAGGAATCAGTCATGGGACGTTTGAAATGAAGATGTTGAGAAGGGAGCATTCGTGACACTTCCAGCTGGGGTCTTGGATTCTTGTTCTCTTAGCTGGGCTCTTCCTCCAAGGGACTGGAAAATACCCCAAGGCATTAACCCCCTGGAGGTATGTAACACAGCCTGAGGCTGCCACCAAGAAGAAGAGGGGCTCAGTTTATTTTCCAAAGCCCCAGAGGGCAGGAGAAGGAACAACGGATGGAAACTAATCCAGGAGAGAAGCAACCTGGAATTGAGGAGAAATTTTCTAACTGTGAGGACAATTGACCAGTGAAACAGCTTGCCACCAGAAATTGTGGCGCTCCAACACTGGAGGCTTTTAAGAAGATTGGACAGTCACTTGTCTGGAACGGTCTAGGATCCCCTGCTTGAAAAGGGGGCTGGACTAGAAGATCTCCAAGGTCCCTTCCAGCTCTATTCTGATTCTGGTTCTGGTGTCCCCATACATCTGCCCAAACCAGGATTCTGAACCCCCAGTGATTAGAGGAATCTGGACACCCTTTTTTGCTTAAAGGTCATACTTGGTGGGAATCCAGAGGCCGTTTGCTGCTTAAACATGTCATGCGGGAGAATTCACAATTATGTTTGGAAGAGTTAATAATAAAAAGAGCCTCAGTGGTGCAGTGGTTAGAGTGCAGTACTGCAGGCTACTTCTACTGAGTGCCAGCTGCCTGCAATTTGGCAGTTCGAATCTCACCAGGCTCAAGGTTGACTCAGCCTTCTGTCCTTTTGAGGTGGGTAAAATGAGGATCCAAATTGTTGGGGGCAAGAGGCTGACTGTAAACCACTTAGAGAGGGCTGTAAAAGCACGGTGAAGTAGTATATAAGTTTAAGTGCTATTGCTATCTTCCTGTCTTTCACATTTCCTTCCTTCCTTCCTTCCTCCTTACTTTTTTCCCTCCTTCCTTCCTCTCTCCTTCCCTCCTTCCTTCCTTCCTTCTTTCTAAAGGTTGTCTCAGCCTTCCATCCTTCTGGGGTTGGTAAAATGAGGACACAGATTGTTGGGGGCAAGAGGCTGACTCTGTAAACTGCTTAGAGAGGGCTGGAAAAGCACTGTGAAGCGGTATACAAGTCTAAGTGCTAAAAGGAAACCAAGCAGCCAAAGAACTCAAAGCTGACACCAGCCAGAATGTAGAACAAAGAAGAAGGGCAGGATTGGAAGATGTGGAGAGACCACCTGGCCCAGAGAACTGCCAAGAGTCAGACACAACTGAAGGGATGTCACCTTCATCATCATCACCTACTCTTCACCTCTTTTTTTTTTTTACAGCAAACCTAATTCTATTTCCAGAACTTCCCTTTTCCTCAAGTAAAAGTGAAAAATTGTTCTCCAAAAAGTAACTGCCAGCTGAGTCATGCCTTGCAAATACAAAGACAGGCTTCGTATTTTACCTCCCGTGGCTGGGTTGCTGTACTAGTCTTTCAGCTACTCCTTAAGGGACTCTGATGAAATTCCAGAGCCTTCATCTCTTGAGATAGGAAACGAATCAAGGCTACCATGATTGGTTAGCGGTTGTCCCAATTAGTGAAAGGTCCACTCTGAAGAGCTTCTCCAGAGTGTCACAACAATTCACTGCTTTACAGCTGAATCCAAAGAATTCAACAAAGATGATTAGGGGACTGGAGGCTAAAACACGAAGAACGGTTGCAGGAACTGGGCCTGGCTAATCTAAGTGAAGAGAAGGACCAGGGGAGACAGGACAGCAGCCTTCCAGTATTTGAGGGGCTGCCACAGAGAGGAGGAAGGGGTCAAGCTATTTTCCAAAGCACCCGAAGGCCAGACAAGGAACAATGGATGGAAACGGATCAAGGAGAGATTCAACCTGGAAATAAGGAGGAGGAATTTTCTGACAGGGAGAACAATCAACCCATGGAACAGAAGTTGCCTTCAGAAGTTGTGGGAGCCTGGAGGCTTTCGAGAAGAGACTGGACTGCCATTTGTCAGAAATGGTGTAGGGTCTCCTGCTTGGGATGGGGGGCTAGATTAGATGACCTACAAGGTCCGTTCCAAATCTGTTATCCTGATTTGATCTACTCTGTAAGATCTGGTCAATCCTCCATAAATTAGGAAAGCTTTCCTCTTCGGAAGGTGGTGCTGTGGTGCTCCAAAAAAGCAATGCGATATATTGTGGAGCGGTGCCCTCTGTGTGCGTATCAGGGAAATGCTGGAGGCTTTCTTTATACAACTCCATCGTGTATTTACAATAGTCTACCTTTGAATGTGTAAACAGGCTAAATAGTTTCATATTTGCTCATTGAGAAGGTAGTTGTGCTTTTTAACATTTTTGCCATATGCTAAAGCAAAAAAAGAAAGTCCACTTATTTAGCCTTTTTTTCATCTAGTCTTACAGGGAATTTATTAAAGATGGTTTGATGTTCAACTGGATCCATGCTGAATTAGCTTTCAGAGGGATTGTCCCTCTGCTTAAGGTGAGCCGGCCATGACAAGATGGTCAGGGCAAGTTGTCCTTGACCCATCCTTGCTTAGCATCATAGCCAACTCTGACTCTCAAAGAAGACATGCTTGTGTGCATCATTTCTCCATTGAGGTCAAGCCATTATTATAGGATAGCAGAGTCTCCTTGTCTACCCCTGACTTCCTTCATGGAGGCTGGATTGAAAATCCGGCTGCACAGAGAATTCACGAACCCCTAAATCTCTCAGCCTTTGAGAGATCCCTTGCTTGATTAGCCCCTCAGCCTCAGACATGGGGAGGAAAACACATAAAGGGGAGGGCGGAGAGCCTCCAAGGGACAGAAGAAACACCACTCCATGGGAGGTAGGGACCCAATGCCTTTATTTTGAGGAAAGAAGAATTAGTCCACCGTGTATTTGAGGGGAAGGGTCCCCATGGCGGCTGGTGGGTCTTTGGTCTAAGTTGAGGCACCAGACACAATTTGGAAAAGTTGAATGGTGAATCTTGATGGACGGGAACCTGTAGAAAGAGAGTCAGTTAGGATGTTTCTGCTCCGAGATGTCTTCCACACTCTGCTTAAATCTTACAACCGTGAGGCCCCAAGCCTTGCCCTGCTTAATCTTACAACAACAGAGAATTCAAAAGTTTGTGGGACCATCACTGATAGCCTTAGAGGACCTCTCAGAGAGCTAGAGTTTGTAGTTGGGTCACCAGACCAATCCATTGGACTTTATGTCACCTAAGTCCACAGCCAAATGGCTGTTCATCTGTGCAGGTGAGGTGGACCCTAGTAGGTGGATTCTACCTTCTCTCAAAAGAGTCCCATTGCCAGCAATTTTAATTCGATGTGCACCATTCCAGGAGCAATGAAGGACTTTCAGGAGGAGAAAGTAGAAGGCAAGTGGGAGGGAAGATGGTTACGACAAGAGACATGAGGCTACCAATAAGAACTTTGCACTAGATGTCCAAATGAAGACAATCACCAATTGGGGTATAGACCCTGTCTGACAGAAACAAGGGTTTATAATTGGCTCACCTGATCAAGCCATAAATATGTGTGACACCTGAGTGTAGACCTGTGTCTAGTCCACTGCTCCTTTGTCCCTTTGTCCCAAATGTCCCCATTCCAGTGTCAACTCCAGAAGCATTCAAGTGGATGTCATTATTCAAGAAGAATGGAGATGGAGGAGGAGGAGGAGGAGGAGGAGGAGCAGGAGGAGCAGGAGGAGCAGGAGGAGGAGGAGGAGGAGAACTGTGGGGTCCTTAGTGCTCTCTGAGCTTGGTTGTTTTCTTGCAGATGTTTCATGACCCAACTTGGGAACATCATCAGTGCTGGAAGTGGTGAAGGAGAAGGAGACAGGGAGAAGAACAACTGAAAGGTCCTTGGTGCTCTCTCAGTTTGGTTGTTTTCTTGCAGGTGTTTAATCACCCAGATACATAACATCATGAGTGGGAGGAGGGGGGAGGAGGAGGAGGAGGAGGAGGAGGAGGAAGAGGAAAGACCTAGAAGATTCTATCAGGCTGCTACCCCCAGAGAATGGGAAGAAATTTGTACCAATTGTCCTTCTCTGCATCAGGAGACCTTGCTCATGTCATAATCACTTCCTGGTGGACTGTTGCAATGCACTCTACAGGGGACTTCCCTAGAAACTGGTCTAGAATGTGATGACATGTGTTGTTGTGGTCTCTCCACCGCTTGCCCATATGCCTCCACTACTCTTAGGGCTGCTGCAGTGGCTCCCAATGGGCTTTGGAGTACAATTAAAAGTAAACCATTGAAGCTCTACATCAGGGGTGTCCAACCTTGGCAACTTTAAGAGTTGTGGACTTCAACTCCCAGAATTCCTCAGCCAGCTTTGCCAAGGTTGGACACCCCTGCTCTACATGGCATAGGACCAGGTTATCTCATGACCTGCATCATCCCACCCCATGCGTACTGACAAGGATTCTGCGTCCATTTGTTGAAGCGATGCCAACTCGAGGGACACAAACCCTGCCTCATGGGACATTCTTCTCCCAACCTATGGCTGCCCTGACCCTGTTAGAAAAACTTGGCTCTTCCCAGGGCCTTCGACTCGTGATGTGCCAGAGCCTCCATTAAATGATGATGGGCTGTATTGATTTAATATTGCCTGTTGATCTGCGCCCTGAGGGTTTTTTAAAAATAGTTCTGTTAGATTTCCTTGCATTTTATTTTTCTATTTACAAAGGCTGCACTCCTATTACTATTCATCTTCTCATCACTCCTTATCACCCATCCCCTCCCACTTGTGACTGTATGATTGTAACTTTGTCACTTGTATCCTTATGATCTATATTGACTGTTTCCTATGATGATTTGATTGCTCATTGTACCCTATGAGTATTATTAAGTATTGTACCTGACGATTCTTGACTCTTGATGAATGTATCTATTCTTTTATGTACACTGAGAGCATTTGCACCAGATAAATTCCTTGTGTGTCCAATTACACTTGGCCAATAGAGAATTCTATTCTATTCTTCTAAGCTGCCCAGAGTCACCTGGGTTGAGTAGAGTGGTCCTATCAATGTTTCCTACCAAAGAAATCCTTTAGTGCTTGGGCGTGGAGCATGACATGGTGCAACTGATGGGTTTACATGTCTTCCTTTCAGCACCGAGGAAACATAGGCAGGTCCCATGTGCTGGGATTGTGTGAGATTCCCACGAGTGGAGGGTCATCCTCCCAGGCCATCCTCCGCACTCTCAGATACATGGCCATTGGTCAGCATCTGCTGCCCTTCAGAGCTTTCTGGACCTTCCACCCTCCCAGGCCTGCCTCCTTTCTTCTGGCCTCCTAAGAGGTGGTGATGATGGTGACAGGACTTCCAAATTCATCAAATGAATCGAAGCCATGGCTCTTAAGATTCCTGTGGCCTCAACATAGTCAAAGAGAGGAATTTAGAACACATATAAAATAAATGGCAGGATTGGGGACTTCATTCCCTCAAGGAGCAAAGAAGACCAGGTCTTCTGGAATCAAAGAGGCCCCCCTTCCCAATCTTTTAAACCCAGAATCGGACCCTCCCTTAAGGCTCAGCTAAGAGAGAACTTTCCCCTCCCTCCACCCTCTCTGTCCATCTTTCTGAGGTGGGACTGGCCTTCGCTGCCAGGTCTCTGATGGCTGGAGAAGACCTGGATGTTCTCCTTTCATCATATTTGAGTCTTGGCTCTTCCAAGGTCACAGCCAAGAAGGACAGAAGTTTCAAGGATTCCAGAGAGATCCACTTGGATCCAGTCCATTCCGGGATCTATGAAGCCCTCCAGAGAGATTGATGCTCTTACCTTAGACTGGATCCGTGCAGTCAACGATGCATCCATAAGGGCAACACTTTTGTTTCCCATGGCACTCCCAGTCACTTCCACACTTCACGGGACAAACAGTGATCAGGCCTGGAGGGGCCTTGGGACACACCCCGGGTTTTTCTGCAAAACAGATGATCCCAAGTCTGAGAGAATCCTCTGGAATTGGAATCCCAGATCAAGCAAGACCCCGTCTCTGGGTCTTTGAGCAGCCAAAACATCTCCGTGAATCCAGATTGAGACATGGACAGGTGGAACAGGATCCTGCCTCCCCCATGCCTTACTTCCCCACAAAACACAGCCATGGACAACCACTGTGGGGTCAACTTCTCAGGACCCTGGGCTGGACCCTAGAACTGGGCTCCTCTCTATTCATTTGGGATCCTGGAGCGGAAATCTGCAATCTTGTTTCCTCCAAAGAGGAAAATTGTTTTCCTTCTAGACAGAATAACAATGTCAACTAAAAATAATAATAATACTTCTTTGGTCTTTTTAGTTGCCAGCAGAAAGAGAGGTGGGGGAAGTAGTGCATTCCTGAAATGCTTCAGATAATTGCTAGGCAGTCCAAAGCTGTTGGCGTGCAAGATTATTACTGGAGAGCATGACTGAGGACTCTTGGCTATGGATGTGTCCCATTGGAGAATATACATCCAGGGGGTTGAGGGAAGACCAGGGTCAAGGGGGAAATGAATGATGTGTTTTGGTGTCAGCTGCACCCAGGTAATGCCAACATGGCCACTCCTAATAAATCATTTTTATTACTCTTTTATTTTTATTTTTTTACTCTGAGAGACTTATGATTTGAATGGGGGTGGATTTGTTGGAGCCCTGACAAACAGAATACACAATTAGAAGGAACCTTGGAGGTCTTCTAGTCCAACCCCCTGCCCAAGCAGGATACTCTATACTGTTCTGGACAAATCGCTATCCAGACTCTTCTTGAAAACTTCCAGTGTTGGAGCACCCACGATTTCTGGTGGCAAGGCTGTTCCACTGGTTAATTGTTCTCACTGTCAGGAAATTCCTCCTTGATTCCAGGTTGCTTCTCTCCTTAGATCAGTTTCCATCTGTTATTTCTTGTCCTGCCTTCTCTGGTGCTTTGGAAACTAGTTTGACCCCTTCCTCTTCTTTGGGGCAGCGCCTCAGATATTGGAAGATGCTATCATGTCACCCCTGGGCCTTCCCTTCCCTAGGCTAGCCATACCCAAATGAAGGACAGAGTAGAGTAGAATAGAGCTGGAAGGGATAAGTGACTGTCCAGTGGCTTGTCTTCAGAAGTTGTGGGTTCTCCATCACTTGAGGTGTTGAAGAAAAGACTGGACAACCACTTGTCTGAAATGCTATATAATGCTTTCCTGTTTGAGCAGGGGGTTGGACTTAAAGACCTCCAAGGTCCCTTCCCACTCTATTCTGAACTAAAATTTCTCTAATTGTGGGGCCTGAGGCTGCTCCCTCTTTTTACCCAAGCTGGAGGTCTTTGACAGGGCCAACCCATCCCGAAATCCCCTTCCCCACTTACCTTTACAGAAGTGAAGGCATTCCTCGAAACTCTCAAAATTGTTGTAGTTTCCTTTACAGCCGCCATAAATGAACTTCTTACACTTGTTATATTTGTGATTGTAGTAGAAGCGAGTCATGTGCGCTCTACAGTGTCCAGGGTCAACAGGGTAGTGACATCTTTCTGTGGTGTAAAGGGGATTCATTGGCTTGGAAGGAGAGTCCAAAGGAGTATGGAGATCTCTACAATGCTTCTCCAAACTCAGGCCCAGCTCTGGGCATCCGGTTTATGAACCCCTAGGATCCCCCATTCTGAGGTTGTGGGTTCCTTGGTGTTCTCTGAGGTTGTGTGTGTGTTTTTTTTCCCTTGCAGGCTTTTTCATTACCCAATTAGGAGACATCATCAGGGCTACTGTATCATGATAGAACTAATAGCATTGATGATATTGGGTACCAAAATATCTGCAAGAAAACTTCCTCATTCCCTTATCCTTCCATGTAGCAACCCCACTCCTTTCTAAGCACTGATGATGCCACCTAGTTGGGTAATGAAACATCTCCAAGTAAACAACCAACTTTGGAGACCATCAAGGATTCCATAGTGCTCTTCTTTTCCTCCTCCTCCTCCTCCTCCTCCTCCTCCTCCCTTCCTTTCTTCTCCTTCTCCTTCTCCTTCTCTTCCTCCTCTTCCTCTTCCTCCTCCTCCTCCTCCTCCTCTCCACAAACCCCTCTGCCTCCCAGCACTGATGATATTATCTAGTTGGGTCATGAAATGTCTGCGAGAAAGTAACCAAGCTCAGAGAGCACCAAGGTCATTCACATTGGACCATTCACAAGAGAATCACCAAGTTCAGAAAGCACCAAGTACCTCACAATCTCCCTTCCCCTCCTCCCCCTCCTCTCCACAAACCCCCTCCCTTCTAGCACTGATGATGTTCCCTAGCTGGGTAATGAAATGTCTGCAAGAAAGTAACCAAGCTCAGAGAGCACCAAGGTCCCGTTGTTTATAAAGATGCTCTTCTGTTGAAATCTGCCGTTCTCCTGGACAAACTGGGACAATTGAAGCCAGGACAAGTATCTCTCCCTTCTTTCTCCTTCAATGGACCGTAATCCTTGTTCCACGTGGAGACCATGCAAGGCATTACAATGCAAAAAAAGGGGGCAGGGAGGGCCCGGGGAGCCCATGTTAGTATTGGATGTTAGATTTTAGAAGTGTTAGTCCCAAGTGGAGGACACAAAATTTCCCCATCTTTAAAAACAAGAGGACTAATCAGTCTGACGTCAGCATTTAGAAAGATGTTAGAGAAGATTGCAAAGAAATCCATCAGTCGGTTCCTTAGAATCAATGCAGTAATTATCAAAATTGGCACCAAGTTGACAAAAAATGCCTTGGCCAACATTCTTCTGTTGTTGTTTAAGTTGAGTAACCTGACATGCTTTCAGAGTTGTAAAAACACACTTAAGAGCTCTCTCAAGAGATGGGCAGGTTTCTCACAGGAGGGGTTATCCTTCACATAATTTGAGTCATTCTTGCATCAAAAGGAGACCCCGACTCTCTTCAAATTGTTTGCAGAAACTGGGGGCCACTGCAGTCATCCAAGACTCAGGTGCCCCTTATATCTGTTATCTGTTATTGCAGGGGAGGGGTGTCCAATCTTGGCAAATTTAAGACTTGTGAACTTCAAATCCCAGAATTTCCCAGCCAGGAATTCTGAGAGTTGAAGTCCACAAGTCTTAAAATTGCCAAGGTTGAACATTCTGGCAGTAAGGTACTTTCTAAATACTTTTGCAGACTTCCGTAGAAGATCTTAAGACAGAGGAAGTGAGGTGCCAAACTAAGTACATCATCAGTGCTGGAAGGTAGTGGGCCTTGCGGAGAGGAAGAAGAGGAAGGATAGCGTGGAGTGTTTAGTGCTTTCTGAGATCAGTTGTTTTCTGGCAGACATTTCAATACCCAATTAGGGAACATACCAATCGTGCCTACCGTCCCTGTCCTATTGTTTCTTTTTATTTTTCTTATACGTATCCATCTCATGTATTCAAAACTATGTTGACACTTATACCTGTTACCTTGTAAGCGATTGACAAATCAAATAAATAAAATAAAATAAATAAAACATCACCAGTACTAGAAGCAAATGGGGTTGGAGGAGGAGGTAGAGGAGGAGGAGAAGAAGAGGAGGAAGATGAAGATTTAAGAAGAAAAAGAAGAAGAGGACGAGGAAGAGGAAGAGGACAACGGTGGGGTCTTTGGTGATCTCTGACCTTGGTTTTCTTTCAGATGTTTTATTACTCAACTAAGTAACGTCATCAATGCTACAAGGAGGAGGGTTGATAGAGGAGGAGGAGGAGGAGGAAAGGACTGTGGGTGCTTGATTGGTTTTTTTGCAGACATTTCATTACCCAACTAAATAACATCTTCAACCTTAACCACCTAGGTAAGTATTGAAACATCTGCAAGAAATCAGCCAAACTCAGGAAGCACCAAGGATCCCACAAGCAGGTTTGTGTTAGACATTTGGAGGAAGATCTTAGAAATGGAGCACATGTCTTTGGATGTCTTCTTTCCTGAGGTGGTTTCTTGGCATTTTGCATTCCCGATCTCAAGCTTCCATTATTCCTTCCATCCTTAAAATTCTATCCTTTGACATATAACAAGATCCTAAACTCAAGAATGATAAGCATCTTGAGACAAGGACAAGAAGAAGTTGAGAAAAGAAGAGCAGACATTATAGTAAAGTGGGCATGTAACTTTCACACGAAAGTTCCCATAAGTGGCATTTATGAAGGGCAGCAGTTAACCTTGATCTGGACAATACCTAACTGAGGTTCCATGTCCAAAGAATAAACAAATTCAAGGTGACCACTATTTTCACGTTGTCTAGATAGAACCCTACTTGTTCACAAGTAGCCTGTCTTTCTCTACGAAGGTTGAGAGCATAAAACAGGAAATAGAATCTATCTCAAAGTAGAAGAAATACTTGTAGAATAAACTTCAAACTTCTGGGAACAGATGCTGAGGTTTCTTCTTTCACCGGAGAAAAGGGGTCTCTTACCATGCTTCTTCCATCCAGAGATTGGTGTCAGCTCAATCCAGAGGCTGAGGAGTCCCACTAGCAGGAGAAGGCTAGCAGAGGGCATCCTGACTCAGTCTGCTGGCCACCAGCGATCCCTCCCTTATAAGCCATGTTGGGGTGGGGGTGGAGTCCTTGGCAGCTGCAAGCAAAAGGGGGGAGGGAGGGAGGTTTACTCTCCCTGGAAGGGCAGAGCCAAAACTGAGGTGGACCTTCTTCATTTCCTAAATGTGTGGGGTGGAGCAGGAAAGATTTTGGAATCCGGTCAAACTGAGAGAGCAAAGCCTGAAGAGGTATATGTCTCCAGATCCCACCTATGCTCAAAGCATGGCCAACCCTCAGAAAGCCCATCCTGGGAGCAATTCCCCGAAGAAAACAAGGGGTCCAATTGATCCATCAAGGCCCTCTCACCATTTGTGTTGGGTCCAAACACCACCTTGATTGAGAACCCTTCTTCTCCTTCTTGTTCTTTTGATATTAATTAATTAGTTCATTAATTCATTGATATGCCTCCCCCAACTGAACCAAGTACCTCTGGTTTGCATGCAAGAAAGAAGAAAACCATAATCCATACAAAATGACGTCTCTCGTGAAAACGTTGAAGAGTAATAAACTAGGTAAGAAAACTCAGATCTTTGGTAGAAATATGGAGAAATTTTCTGATAGGGAGAGCAATTAATTAGTGGAACAGAGCTTCAGATGTTGTGGGTGCTCCAACACTGGAGATTTTTAAGAGATTGGATAGCCATTTGTCTGAAATGGCCTAGGCCAGGGTCTTCTGCTTGAGCAGGGGGTTGACTAGAAGACCTTCAAGTTCCCTTCCAACTCTGTTACTTTTGGTAAGTCATCAACTGGGGCACTCAGTGTCCTTGAAGCATTTAGAGGTTTATCTGTGTCCTCGGGGCAACCTGAGTGGTGCTTCTGGTTCCTGTAGTCTGCATTCAAAGGGTGTTCATCCCAAATTGTATAGCTAAAAATCTGTAGAAAAAAGGGGGAAATACTTCTTCCAAAAGAAAAAACTAGGAAATCGAGTTCCAGCCTCCTGAAAAAGCAACTTTGGATGAGTGAGAATCTCTACAGAACAGAGTTAGAAGGGACCTTATTGGTCATCTAGAAGTCCAACCAAGCTGGAGACCCTGCAACATTTCTGACAGATGGCAGTCCAGTCTCTTCTTGAAAGTTTCCAGCGATGAAGCTCCCACAACTTCTGAAGGAAACATCTCTTCCATTGGTTTGGTTGTTCTTACTGTCAGGAAATTTCCCCTTATTTTTAGGTTGAATCATCCATCCATGGTGGAGATCCAAGGACTTGGTCCTTTCCCTCTCCACTGAAAGAGGTCAGCCACCAGTTTAGTATGAGGCATCAACAACATAGTGCTGACAATCATCTATCTCTTCCACAGAGAGGAGGAGGGGGTCAAGCTATTTTCCAAAGGACCTGAAGGCCAGACAAGGAATAATGGATGGAAACTGGACAAGGAGAGATTCAACCTGGAAATAAGGAGAAATTTTCTGACAGTGAGAACAACCCACGGAACAGAAATTGCCTTTGGAAGTTGTGGGAGCTTCATCACTGGAAGCTGTCAAGAAGAGACTGGACTGCCATTTGTCATAAATAGTGTAGGGTCCCGTGCTTGGGTGGGGGGTTGGACTAGATGACCTACAAGGTCCCTTCCAACTCTGTTAATCTAATCTAATCTCTACCCTGAGCTGATGCCTGATTCTGGACACTATCAGGATCAAGACAAAGAAAAATAGGCTCAGATTTAACTTAGTCCAAATAGAACAGATGTTCATTCATCATTCATATCAATCGAACCAGGATAGCAGCTGGAGGAAAGGAAAAAAAATACAGAGGGAGGCCACAGGGAGGTATTCTTTTGAGTCTGGATTTCCCTTGGTAAGCTTCCACCTGTTGGTTCTTGTCTTGTCTTGCCCTCAGGCATTACAGAGAATAAATCACACTATCTGCTTTTCCCTTCATGTTTTGGAAGGCTCTATTATTATGTCTTGGCTCAACTTTCTCTGCTGTAGGCTAAACATACTAAGTTACTTTCACTGCTCTTGGAGAGAAGCAACCTAGAACTAAAAAGAAACTTCCTGGTGGTGAAAACAATTAACCAGTGGAACAGCTTGTGTTCAGAAGTTGTGTGTTGCTCCCGGCCTCCTTTTCGCTGTCAGAGGCCTTCAGGAGCTTCTTCTTCTAACCCTAACAGACCTCTGGATCGATCCAGAGCTTTGTTCTCAGCTCCAGAGGCCTTCAGGGAAGCCTGGCCAGCCTTGCCGGCTGCAGAAGAAATGGGCCGGCAAGGCAGGTGTCGGGGGCGAGTGCGAGGCCTGGCTACAACTGTCCAAAGGTAAGTAGTAGGGCAGCTCCACTCCTCCATCCCCACCCTCCATCCCCACCAATTTTACCTGTGCACCCTGGAGTGGGCAGGATCTTAATTAGGGCTTGTTTGGGGGGTAGGGCTTATGTTGGGAGTACATGTAAAAATCAAGCTATGACTTACTTTCAGGGTAGGTCGTATTTTGGGGGAAAACAGGGTAGAAGACATCCAAGATCCTTTGCTACTCTATTATTTTATGTTCTATGATTTAGCTGCAATCTCTTCACCATCTTTGTCACTCTTCTCTGCACTCTTCCTTTGTGTTCCTCTTGTATTGTGATGACCACAACTGGACACATGATCCCAGGGGCGGTCCCAGCAGTGGAGCCAAGAGGAAAATGTCTGCATTGACGACGATGATGATGGTGGGGGTGGTGATGATGATGATATCCATTCAGTCATGTCTGACTCTTGGCGATTTTCTTGGCCAGGTCTTTCCTCATCTTCTGATCTTGCCCTACTTCCTTGAGGCGTTTGCTGCTCTGTCAGCTTTGATGGTATGTAGACACCGAGTTCTTTGGTGGCCTGGTGGCCTTTTATCCCTAACTCTTCCCAACATAATTGCTTTCTCCAGTGAATTCCACCGCATGACATGGCCAAAATAAGTGAGACACAGTTTCATGATTTTGCTTTCCAGTGACAGGTCTGATGTTATGACCTTCTGTGCTTGCTTGTTAGTCATCTTTACTGTCCAGGGAATATGCAGGCACCTTCTCCAGCACCACAACTCAAATGAGTCAATTTTCTTCCTGTCTTGATGTTTGAAGGTCCAAGTTTCCCAGCCATGGATAGCTAGGGGGAACACAATAGAGATCTTGGCACTAGGGCTGCTGTTGATGCATATCAAGATCACATTGGCTCTGGCAGTTGCTGCACACTGTTGACTCATATTTAATTAATGGCCTACCAAAACACTCAGATCCTTCTGAGTGTAATATTACTGATGAGTCAGGTACTACCTATCTTATACCTAAACATCTATTTTTTCATACTATTAATATGATTTATAACTGTAGCCTCCCATCTCGTACACATGACTCTGGGTGGCTTACTGTGATGACCCAAAGGGGTGTGGCACAAAGGCAACACAATTGGATAATCAATAAGAGTTCCTTTATTATCTCCAACTTTGACTCCAATGTCCAGGTTACCTTCTGGCTGGAGAAAAACTCTCCCTGCCTTTGACTGCAGAAAATTAAGTCCAAACAAGCCAAACTGAAGTAATTAGTTTGGCAGGGCAGGAACAAGAATTTCAGACTTGAAGACATGGCAAAACTCACATGGTTGGGAAGATGCCAGGAACAGAGATAAGCCACTACAACACAAGATAAAGTCACATTTGCTCCCAGAAGTTGCCACACGCAGCCTGTCTTTCTTTTAAACTGTCTTCCCAGCTATGGCTAATGAAGGGAATCAGGGCCCTTTCCTCCCCCATCAGCCATGCAACGCACATTGCTCTCCTCTCCGTTCCTCCCTGCGCACCCTAGGATGAAGTGGGCCTGGGTCTTCCTCTGAACTCCCTCTCCCTTGTTCTACCTCTTTCCTGCTCTGCCCAGCCTGACTTTGCCGTTCTCCAGCCTCCTCCACAGCCAACAAAGCCACACGCTTGCTCCCTTTCAGCTGTCCGGCTTCTTCCTTGGATTCAGACTCTGACAGGGGCATGACACTTACACAGAAAACCCGAAGTAGTGGAGAATCCTGGAGTTCTTGGGATTGAAACATGTTTCGTTAGGCCTGATGTTCAAGTTGGCCTTCTGAAATGTTAGCAATCCCTTCCACTTTGGGTCATCCAAACATTAATGTAAACACAGACGAGAGAGGGCTGTGATTCTCCCATTGTGGTCACCGGCTTCACCACTGTGAATGCCTCCATTGGGTAGCATCAACTCTAGTTCTCAACAGGGTTGTGAGACATAGAATAATAAGGTTGGAAGGGACCTCAGATATCAGCGGATCAGTGGATCTCAACCTGTGGCCACAAAAGATATTTAAAGGGTGTCTCTGGTGAAGAAAAGTTTAAGAACCATTGTTCTAATCCAATCTCCTGCCTATACCAGGAGACCCTCTTCTATTCTGGACAAATGGCTATCCAAGCTCTTCTTGGAAATCTCCAGTGATGGAGCACCCACGACTGCTGGAAGGAAGCCATTCCACTGATTAATTGTTCTCACTGTTCTCACTTCCCAGTGTGTGTATTTCGAATATCTGTGGATGTCTTCAAGCCCTTATCCTGCCTTGTCTCATCAATTGCTTCAGTGTGGTTTGTGTTGTTGTTTTTCTATTTATAATTTATATGTATGTTGAGTTTGAATGGAAGTTCTTCATTTCCCAACTGTTTGTGGGGGAGTTTTTTTCTCCAGTCAATGATAATTGGACCTTTGAAGCCAAGTTGAAAGAATTAAAGGGACTTCACCCGTTTTTGTGACTTTGTTGCTTTTGTATCCCACCCTGGGTCATCACAAGGACCTTGGTCAGAGGTCTTCGAACTTGGCCACTTTAACACTTGCAGACTTCAACTCCCAGAATTCTCCAGCCAGCCATATGGGCTAGAGAATTCTGGGAGTTGAAGTCCACAAGTCTTAAAGTGGCCAAGTTTGGGGACCCCTGACTTAGGTCAAAATCCCTGGACTCTTCTGGAAGAGCGGAGTGGAAGTTTTTGTTCTACTAAAGGAGAATATTTGTAGTTCAGGGTTGACATGAGGGGTTCTTGGCGCTCTCTGAGCTTGCTTGCTTTCCTGCAGACATTTCATTACCAGAACCAGGTAACATTAGAGGAAGTTGTCCCAAAGGTGCTTTTTTAAAGGGGGCAACTGGACTTTCTGGGAATGTTTTCTTTGAAGATGTTTTGCTT